CCGGTTCTGCGCGCGAGCCCGGTGCCCCTTTTCCTCACCTCCGAGCCGACTCGCGAGAGTGCCGCATCGCAGGAATGGCCACGCCGCCCAAGAGAGTGTGCCCGTCCCCTGCGCCCAGCTCCGAGGGCTCCCGCGTCACGAAGATCTCCATCGAGGGGAACATCGGTAAGCGCCCGCCGCCATCCCCCCGGCCCTCGCGGGCCGCTGGCCTGTGTTCACCCGGTCTCTTCTTGTAGCCTCGGGCTACCGTGCGCCTGTTTCTCTAGCCCCGCTTTTTATTGGTGGGTGGTATTCCATTGCGTGGATAAGCCACAATTTATTCCCCAGTATTGGACCTTTGGCATTATTTCCAGTTTGTAACGATTATTAATAAAAGTACTGTGAACATTCAAATACAAGAAAGAGGTTTTTATTGGTCTTCATAGCAAGGATTCCTCATCCCCTTCCCCACATCGAGTAAACCCTGGGTCTGACTGGCGGACGTTTCTGTTCCTAACCTTGATGGGACATGCTGCACCATGGATGTCATTTTGCAAGGTGAACACCAGTTCCTATTTTGTATATTCCCTCCTACAGGAAACTTACCCTTGACGCTTCCTGTTTTGATAGAATTTTTACTTTTTTGGCTGCAACATGAGTACTGGCCATTCATGCATTACAGCAGACAGTTTCGCACATTCAAAGCACTTTCTCTTTTTTGAGAAGGCAAAGCGAGCAGGTGCTTTAAGCATTCCAAAGAATACAAGAAAGCTGAAGACTGCCTCAAAGAGGTCCTATTTTATTGCACCAGTTTAAAGGTACCACTGGGAAAGACCCATATTTCCTCTTAGCAGTATAGGTTCTTTGAGGATGCATATTTACTACTATGATTTCTCACAGCCCTTTAGTTGGCAAGACTATATATAAAAAGGAAAAACCAGTAAACGAAGTATCTGTGTTTTTTTATTTACTTTTTTGGTACCGGGGATTGAACTTGGGTCCTTGCGCTTGCGAATAAATGAAGTATCTTAAATGGAAATTTGAATGGATAACCCCAGTTAGGTGACGTAACATATCTAGAAATCCATTTTCTCCCCAGGCATCTTTAATCTTCTCAGCTCCTGAAATAGTTTTTCTTTGTTTCTGTCTTTCTGTGTTGGTTTTTTGATAAAGGGCCTCACTGTTGTTCAGCCTGGCCTTACTATGTAGCCCAAGCTGGCCTTGAACTCTCAGTGATCCTCCTGCCTCAGCCTTCTGAGTGCTAGGATTACAGGTGTGCACCACCGTGCCTGGCTAATAAATTTTTAATGTGTCATTCCATCTCCAGTTTGTCTTAACTGTTTGCAGAGCAGTCATTAGCTATACAAATGCAGTTGTGTTATAAGTTCTCTTAGCTATGGTGCCTATTGTGTCATGTAGTAGGAACAATCATATTTCTTATCCTAAACTCCAGGCATTGGATGTTTTCATGTTAATTTTAGGGTTGTTTACTTCTTCATTAGCCTTATGTACAAAGGAACTGAGCATCTTCATAGACTAGAAGAATGAAGCCAGTAGAGAGGCAGTGTTTGAAAATGCAGGAGCCTGGAATGCCTGCCGTTGTAGTGCCAGTTTATTTGTTCTCTCACACACTTTCCTTGTCCTGATTACTTTTCTGGTTGCTAAGACAAAATATCTGATGCCCAAAGTTAAAGGAGGAAAAGTTTATTTAGCTCACAGTTTGTAGAGGTTTCAGTCCATAATCAGTTGGCTCCAAGGCAGGTGGGGGGTGGGGTTGTGGTGCTGGTGGCAGAAGAGCAACAGCTCATGGAGGGCAGAAGGTAGCAAAGCAGCTAGGGACACCCACAGCTCTTTCTATCCTTATGTCTTATCCAGGCTGCTTAGGGCCGGTAGCACTCACACCTGTAATCCTAGTACCTTTTCATCTAACATTGCACCATGAATCAATCCCAGTGTCATATACCCTAGATCCATTCACCTCTGAAAAAGCCCCACCTGCGACTGTGTAAGACACAGGCCATAACATTCCTTGAGAACAGTACTGCTGTCTTCCTTGTATTATGAGGAAATAGGGTCAGAGAGGTTCTGGGACTTGCCTAAAGTCACACAGCTAGTTAAGTGCTCCCCAGAAAGTTCTCTCTCGGGGCTAGGAGAAGGATTGTTTCTCCTGCCATAACATGTTTCCTAAAATCTTACCAGGTTTTTAATTCCTCTGTTCCATGTCTTTGCTAAGCTAAAAATAATAAACAAATGTGCTCCATACATCTGGATAGAGACCTCTTTCATTAAGATAAAATGGGGGGGGGGCCGGGGATTTAGCTCAGTGGTTCCACCACCTGCCTTGCAAGTGCAAGGACCTGATTTTGATTTTCGGTACCAAAAAAAAAAAAAAAAAAAGATAAAAGGGGGAGGGGGAGGGTGGAGAGGAGAAGGATGAGGAAGAAAAAGGAAAAAAGTATAGAAGTTGAACATTTGTTTTCATTTTTCATGTTTTTATATTGTTTGCTATTCTTTATCTTTTGAAAGGCAGATGATTCTTTTCCTGATTTCTTTCCTCAATTTTACCTTTTTTCCTGCAACAGCTGCAGGGAAGTCAACGTTTGTGAATATCCTGAAGGAAGTCTGTGAGGACTGGGATGTGGTTCCTGAGCCCGTTGCCAGATGGTGCAATGTGCAGAGCACTCAAGGTGAATTTGAGGTATGAAGATAAAATTTAAGTGAATAAAATAAAAACCTTTTGGATTAGAGAAGCAGCATACTTAATCGCTTGGCTTTTTCCCCTCTTCCAGTAAAACTTACATCTGGCTTTGAGTTTGGATTTTCATCTGGGTATATGTATATGTATGTGTGTATGTATGTAAAGATGCATTTAAGATTTATTCACAATATAAGTAAAGTTTAAAAAGCTTTTTAAAAGCCTAATAACTTTTATAAATTAAATTGCAAGTTAAATTTCGTGAGCGGCTTTTTACATTTTGTTCTAAAACAAGGAAACAAGAAAAACAAAACAAAAATACTATCCCAGTTACTACATTTTTAAATTAGTTTATCTTTCTAACCTTTTGTCTTGGGGAAAAGCATTTCTCTCATTTCTATGTTGTACCGCCATTCTTACTAGACTGACTCAGGCACCAACTTTCATTTTTCCAGCACTTGTGTATACTGCATTGGAAGTGAAAAAGGAAGGGAATAACTTAAATTTCATTTTTTATAGTAGAAATTTTGGTTTTGTTTGTATGTGATTGCTAAGATTTTTGTTTCTGAGGGAATGAGAATTAAAATTGAAAGAAGTAAAAGAATCTTTAAAAATGAAAACATGTCCTAGAAAGTTATGTTGTTTAATCTGAGAAAGACAAGAATAAGAAAAGTAATATTCTGAGAAATTGTGAGGCTTCCTTTGAATGGTATTTAAGTATTTAGAGGTAAGTCACATACATAAGGAGTAACTAGGAAGGATGTATTGTTTTGAATAAGTGGAAGTATTTTCTCACATGCCTTCTATTTGCCAAATATAGTTAAATTTAGGTCTGGTGGGGCCCCATTAACTATGTATACTCTAATCCTGAGACTATCTAGGACTAAATTTTAAAGGGAGTTTCTTCCTACATGACCATGTTTTCTTAGGAAATTGATGTTGCTGCTCTTTAGGGAAAAGTAGGATTAGCTTTAGAACTTTAAGGTGGGTAACTATATTTATTTTGTATTTCATTTAGCATTTTTGATTGATGTGATATAGCTATAGAAAAGTGTATGAAATCTATGAATAGTTTGAAGAACAGTTTTTGTTGTTCTTTGCTTTTTTGACATAGGGCCTCACTAAGTAGTTCAGGCTGGCCTTAAACTCACTATGTTGCTCTGGTTGGCCTTGAACTGGAGGCAGTTCTCCTGCCTCAGCCTCCAAAGTGCTAAGACTATAGGCATGGCCCAGGTCAAAAAATGAACATTGTTGTCATTCTAGAAATTCCTGTTTATCTTTCTCCAGTCATATTCCCTTGAACCAGAGTTCAAATTTGTGAGATGCCTCCTAATTAAAAAATCATTGCCCTAGTCAACTACTTCCCTTGTCAGTATCGAGCCCTTTAGTTATGTTGTCAGAGGAGATGTTGAAAAGCTTTGTATCAATGCATTTGGGAGGATATTATATAGTAAGAGCTTTGTTGAACTTGGAATCAGAGTGCAGAGAGGTAGATTGTTAATGACTGATGTTGTTCATTTTAAACCTTATGGCTTTATACTCATGCCATTTTCTTTCCATGTACGAGAATCAGAGTTCCAAACTGGCTTTTCTTTATAGCTACCATACTGCAACTTTTTCTCTCAGTCAGTTCACTGCACTCCAGTCTTGTTTTGGGTACTATCTTTATTGCATTTTTAGTGCATTTTGATGCAAATTCTTGGAGGGGAGCTTTAATTTTTTTTTTTTTTTTGAGCACATAGAGGGCTGTTACACTGCCTGGCAGAGTTTCAGACAGTGTCGGAGCAGTGTTTCAAGGATAAGTCATAGAATGTGAGGGGTGGACAGCTGGCTAGCTGCCCTATCATCTTCAGATGTTTTCTTTTTTCTGGACTCCACTAAACTCAAGAAGTGGGTTTTTCTTTTATCCTGGAGCCTCTTCCCCAAACCCACCCCGATCTTTGCCTTGGAATTACAATGTGAATTGTCTACTGTCCAAATTCCAGCTTTCTTAGAACCCTGTGAGCAGTGACCCTGGCCCTTCCTACCTTAGATGTTATCTATTTGATTTTTTTTTTTTTTTTTTTTTTTTTTTTGAGACAGGGTCTCACTGTGTGGTTGAGACAGACCTTGAACTCACTATGTAGTCCAGGCTGGTCTCAAACTCACAGTGATCCTCCTGCCTCAGCCTCCCAAGTGCTGGGAGTTATCCATTTGATTTTACTTGGTGGAGGTACAGCTGGACTCTTTCCTTAACTAAATATGTATGGCAAGCTTAGCTTGTTTTCTTTGGTTTTGCTTGTTTCTTTTTTTTCTCTCTCCTGCCCCCTAGTGTCTGAAATATTGCTGTATTATTGATAGACTACCACTAAATTTGGTAAAATAGCAAGAGGCAAACTATTTAAAAGATTATATAGTCTTCCGTGCCCTTTTCTCTCGTAAAGATGATCTTTAAAACTATCACTTAGACGATTATCAATTTTTGTATTAATGGGGTTTAAAAAAATAATAACATCCTCTGTTTGGTGATTTTTGTCATTTAGATCTAAAGCTTTCATATAATTGCTTCCTTTTAGCCTTTTTTTGAGATACCCAGATTGTTAGGGAGATCTCTCCGTCCTTTTTTCTTCACTGAGCTAAATTCTTGAGGAGAATCACTGCTATTAATTGTGAAGTATTGTTTAACTTTTTTTTTCTTTTTTATTGAGGTTATTGGTACAATCTAGGTATACAAATACAGTTACATTCATCATTGGGATTCTGTACCTTTACATAATAGGTCTTGATTCTCATTTTTCCCCTTGTCCCTGCCCTCCCTTCACCCCCTCCTCCCCTCCCCATTTACAAACACTTTATTTCTCATATTTTTTTCCTCTCCCTTATTACCTTTCCCCCACCCTTCCTACTTTCCTTACACCTTTAGCCCTTTACTTCCTATTTCACATTATTAATTGTCTCATTAGGATCCTGTGTACTATTATAGTTTTTCAAACCAAAGAAACTATTCGGTATTTCAGTTAAAGAAATCTCTGTATGAACATTAAAAATAGGTAATCCTAAAATAAAACTAAAAAGGAAAGTAAAAGAGAAAAGGCAATGATGTAACATCAAAATAATCCTTAATTCTGGAGATGAAAATGGTCCCTGAACATATTTAAATTGCTTCTCGCTCTTATAGTCTTATCTTATTCTTTTTTCATTATTTAGAGAATACTTTATTAGTTTCTGTAATCAAATCCACGTAGATATGACCTTATATATTTAGTACGATGTGTTACCCCTGTACACATGGAAAAAAACATAAAATAAAATAAATTAACATTTCTAGACCAATATGGTTATCCATTTCTGTACAATGCCAAGTCTACACAGTAAATTGGGATGACATTTTCCAAAGTTGGCAGCACCATTAAAGTTTCCCAAAATTCAATTTATATATATGTGTGTGTG